AATCACATGTGCACTGAATAGCTGCAATTTGAAACGTGAGCAGACACGAGATATAACGGATTAGACCTTCTCTCTGGACTCACAGAATATATTTCGGAAAAAAGCAAAAACCCGAGCATGCCAAGGAATTGAACCCCTGACCTCGCAACTGTGAAGCAACTTACCTATCCCCTGCACCACCGACCGCTCATCACTGCGGACTTTCGAACTCAACTTGAGCTAGCACAAAGGGTATGAGGCGGGTACTGTGTTGGAACCACCCCCCTAACCGTTCTAGAAAACCGTTTCACAAATTCCGAAACCAGATTTGAGTTCAGCATCCCGAGACGCACACGCCAATATGCATCCCATCCTGAATGGCCATGGCGACCTGTTGACCTTTCCTGATCAGCATCCTCATTTCGGCTAAGTGGGGCTGCCTTTTATGGTTCTTGCAGATGGGCCAGCACTCACTGCCGTAGAGCATTGTAGGCCTTACCACCGCCCGGTACACCTTGCCCTTGTGGTTCTCGAGCACCACCAGTCACACAGGATGCCAGTGGACTCCCTCCATTTCCTCCTATCCAGCTAAAGGCACGAGAGCAGCGACTGCGATGGTATAGGCACGTACTGAGAAGGCATGAGGATCACTCAATAAGGAAGGCACTGGAATTCGAAGCAGAGGGCAAGCGACGACGAGTGGCCCCAAAGAAAAGATGGAGGGACGTCATCAAGAAGGACCTCACTGAAGTGAACGCCACAGGAGAAGATACAGTGGATAGGAACAAGTGGCGACGTCTAACACGAACAGCGGACCCTGCGACGGCGCGGGAGTCACGCTAGGGAGAGAAGAAGAAGATACCGACCACCAGTTTGGCTAACGCGCACTACTGCACGCATGGTTAAATCTATGCTACTGATCACTGACAGTATTCCTATGCTGATCTCTAACACTTGGCCTAATTCCCATGTTCTCAAGTACGGCCATTTTCATCTTATTCAACCTCTTTCATGAACATTGGCCAATCCGGTGCTTATCTTGCTTCTTAAAACAATCACCATCCCGCTGGAAGTAGGACAGCTTAGCGGGTGGAAGAGTTACGATGGTAACAATATTGAAATCATATTGAGATGTCCTTTATCCTACTTCTGTTGAACGGCTTTCATATCCGTCTGTTGATGGCTCTTAGCATTTCTAACTGGCAGACATCTTTGGGTTTTTACTTTTTGTCTAAATTCGAGAGTTTAGCGGTCAAATCAATCCCGATTATATTACTAAAGGATAAACCATCTTGGCACCCGACTAGGATATTACCCATTGATTCTTGGGCCGAAGCGGTCAGTTCAGTTGCAAGCGGAGTAAAGATGACTGACTATACTATATATACTATATACTATACTGTATATCTTACTGACCTGGAAACTATATCACAACTCATCTCCCTCCCCCGCTCCCCCCCCCCAACCGTGTTACCTAACCACCTCTAAATTACCTGCTGGAAACAGTTCCCCAGTGTTGTTGCGCCTTGAATTTTGGGGGCTTCCTTTCTGAAGTGGCACCCTATCGTATCTTATCAGCTGTTATCATGTCCTGCCACCCATCAATAATGTTCCCATCCTGCCCCTTACCTTACTTCTTGAAACCAACGTTCTATCGTTGCTGTGACGCTCGTTATGATGTTGGTGACCCTACCCTTCTAAAGATCCTTATGCATCTTATCAGCTGGAAATCCTGCCACCCATCAATAACGTTCCCATCCTGCCCCTTATCTTACTTCTGCGAAGTAAAGCACTTCAATTTCGAACTTATTCAATATTGCTTTTCGAGTCTAGTTGAGGAACACTTTATAAACCCTATATATTCTGCTTTAGAGCTGAAACAGATGGTAATGAGATGACAAAACTTGCGTATTTTTAGCGATTCGTTTTTATTCCTTTTTTGGCATTCCCAATAGCGTTCAGCAAAAAGGAACCCCATCTGTGTGGTCCTTGTATGGACCCCAACAATATGCAAGAAATCGTTTTGAAAAAGCTCACCACTCCCTGAACGACCTCCCTTGTTAGAACATGATGCACGGGCTGTTCCTTTGCGTAACGATCAGTTTCAGTGTTCACAAGGCCATCATACTATTCAAAGGCTTCAAAGGTTTTTGTGGAGTCTCACGACAATATTTGCGCGTGCCAAAACTGCCTTATGCTCCTCGCATTGACTTGGAAAAAGACTGAAACTTCGGACACCAAAAAGTTCCTTTTGAAGAAACTTTCGGCAAAGCCTTTTCCAACTATTCTGAATGTTTGCAGACGCACAGTACCATCGTGGTCACCACAACGAGACTGCAGTCAGCTTTTCAAAGAAAATGGAGTGTACTCGACATCCAATTGCCAGGATAAGAGCATCCCCTACCGCTTGCAGGCTGATTTCGAGTCCACCTGCGTCGACTTTGCAGCCAGTTTCAACAGCATTAATAAGACAAATATTAGTAAATGGATCGTAGGAAGGACACTGAGAGTGTTCGGGTTGAATGGTAGGTTTACGACCGAGAACCCGCTGTTCAGCCCAGAAAATTAAAGGGTCAAAGCAGGAGGTCGACGCAAGTGGACTCGAAATCAGCCTGCAGGTGGTATTGATGCTTTTATCCTGGAGGATAGATGCTGAATACGCTCCAATGGTCTTCCAAACGCTGACCGCAGTCTTAATGTGGTGACCACGATGGCAGTGTGGGTCTAGAGGCTTTCAGAATACTTGGGAAAGACACATCTGCACGCCCACAATTTTACTTAATAATGCTAGGTATAATACACTAAAATTTGAAATGAATTGGTTGGGTGAAAAAAGCTATAGGCGAAAAAGCGTTTGGCCGTATACATGAAGCGCTGCTGCATATATTTTTGTTCAAAACTGCTCACTGGAATAAATTCGGAAAAAAAGTTCGGAAATGTCACGAACTTTTGGGACAACCTACTAGAAAAACTCACCCAAATATTATATATAGTAGGATAAACAAAACTTTACAAACATCAACTGACGATCAGCAGCGAGCTTACCGTATATGAAAGGATGAATGGGAGGAAAAACTTACACTGAATCCAATTCGGTGTTTCTACTAGTGGTTGTTAGCATATTACGCGAACAACTGGAGCTATACTCTGAGATTACAGGAGTCACAGAGGTACCTAAAAAGTGAAATTACTTAAGTCACATGAAACTGGACCGCGCCTACCAGTTTTCAAAGTATTCAGGGGGTTACATGTCTCAGATACTTGCCAGTGATAGAGCAGCAAAAGAATATCATGACTGGTATCGTGCAAAAATCATGCATAATATCAATTTAAAATGTCGTAAGACTTTCCGATCTGCTTACTATCCTACTATATAATCAGGGTACAGCACAGGGATAGGCGAAACGTCGGTGTGAGTACGACCCCCCCCCTCAGCTCGACCGGCTCTTTCGCCGGCTGACGAGCGATAAGTATATAGTCGGCGAAAAGTCGTCGGAGCGGGAGGGGGGGGGGTCGTACTATTTAAAATAAATAAATAATAAATTTGTCTCCAACAAATACGACCCCCTAACCCCAAGCAAAAGTACGACCCCCCTATGTGCTTTCACACAACGATGCTGTGCCCTGTATATAATTCACTAAGTATGTCTGTCAGTGTGTGCGTTTGTGTGTATGTGTGGGTGCGTCCGTCTGTCTGTCGCAAGATTCATAGCACGCGTCGCAGCAAGCGTGGCACGTTGGTTCAAGAAGTGATATAGGGGAAGGGACGGGAACATTATTAGCGAGTGACAGAAAGTGATTACAGTTGATAAGATAGGATGAGGGGTCTCGGGAGGGGAGGATCACCAAATTCGTAAAGCAGGTTCCGGCAACAGTGGAACCTTGGGTCCGTGAGGTGATATGGGGTGTGGGACGGGAACATTATTGGCGGGTGACAGAAAGTGATAACTGTTGATAAGATCAGAAAGGGATCGCGGAAGGGGAGGATCACCAAATTCGTAACGCAGGTTCCGGCAACAGTGGAACCTTGGATCCGTGAGGTGATATGAGGTGTGTTGCGGGAGCATTATTGGCGGGTGACAGAAAGTGATAACAGTTGATAAGATTTGATAAGGGGTCTCGGAAGAGGATGATCACCAAATACGTAACGCAGGTTCCGGCAACAGTGGAACCTTGGATCCGTGAGGTGATATGGGGTGTGGGACGGGACATTATTGGCGGGTGACAGAAAGTGATAACAGTTGTAAGATCCGATAAGGGGTCTCGGAAGAGGATGGTCACCCAATACGTAACGCAGGTTTAAGCAACGGTGGGAGCGTGATTTCGAGAAGTGATTTAGGGTGTTATGATAGTGATATGGGACGGGAATATTATTGGCGGGTGACGAATGTTACAGGAGCTGCAAGTGGCAAGTTAACATGGGAAAATCCGCTACACCGCTCACAGCAGCAATGCGATCGATATGACTCAAGCATAACGATCTCAGTGATTCCAGCACGACTCATTCCTCACCCCTCATCAGTAGCGGGATAATGTACGACTAAGCTAGCTCAATGCATGGGGTTTGTTTACAGAGATGTTATGAGCAGCAGCATCTTGACTCAATCACTCTTATCAGAACTATCTTCTATCAACAACCTCAGTGTTGGCCATTCAAAGCGTTCCACTGCTGAATGCGGGAGTGCATTCCAAAGCAGGACGCTTTAGGAGAGGGTGGGGGGGGGAACGCATGAATCAGTACGATTCTTTAGCGGCTGATCAAACAGACTGCTCTGTTCCCGTTTATATAGGTTATGAACGCACCAGTCGGATCGCTCGCTAACGCCGGCGCTCCTCCTTATGCGGCGGGCGCTGTTGCTGCTTCTGCGTCTTGACAAAACGGGCGCTGCTTTTCAGTTCTTGGCTGATGCAGAACATTCCCTTAAACAGTGTGGTTGGTCAACCCTCAGTGAGGGCCATTCAAAGGGTTCCACTGCTGAATGCGGGAGTGCATTCTAAAGCAAGACGCTTTGAGGGGGAGGGGGGGGGGGAGGGAATGCATGAATCAGTACGATCCTTCAGCGGCTAATCTAACATGCTGTTCTATTCCGTGTAGGGTATGAACGTACCAGTCGGATCGCTGGTTGACGCCCGCGCTCCTCCTTATGCGGCGGACGCTGCTGCTGCTTCTGCTTCTTGACAAAACGGGCGCTGCTTTTCAGTTCTTGGCTGATGCAGAACATTCCCTTAAACAGTGTGGTTGGTCAACCCTCAGTGAGGGCCATTCAGAGGGTTCCACTGCTGAATGCGGGAGTGCATTCAGCAGTGGAACCCTTTGAATGCCCCTCACTAAAGCAAGACGTTTTAAGAGGGGGGGGGATGCATGAATTAGTACGATCCTTCAGCGGCTAATCTAACATGCTGCTCTATTCCCGTGTAGGGTATGAACGTACCAGTCGGATCGCTGGCTAACGCCGGCGCTCCTCCTTATGCGGCGGACGCTGCTGCTGCTTCTGCGTCTCGACGAAACGGGCGCTGCATTTCAGTTCTTGGCTGATGCAGAACATTCCTTTGAACAACGATCCGCAACTTAGCAAGCAGCAAATCCGCGCCCACAAGGCGAAGCCGGGCCATGTCACAGAAGGAAGAGCGCCCGGCGACAGCTGGGCGATCCGACTGGTAATATTAGTATACAGCTTGATCAGAAAGGCTGCAACTCGCATACTTTCAAGATACATACGAGAAGATCCCTATCGACTTAAAGGCAGAATTAGCGTTAGTCAGAGAGAAATTCGTTGGTATCGGGGTTAAGCTTTCCCGGTGCTAAGAGGGAGACAAAAAAGCCGATGTGGTTTGGAGTCACACGCACAATCTTGCCACTACCTTACAACTTTTTGACGCGGAATTTGTCCACTGTTATGAGTTGCGCTTTCCTATCTTCTCCTTCAGAGAGCCTGGATATTCACAGGCAGGGCACATCGCTGTTGAGGCTCCCCCAACGGGGAGGGGTGGTATTTGGTCGCTGGGAGAGGGGGGTCGCATTTGGGCCGAGAAAAATTTTTCAGTAGTCGGTTGTTCTTGATTCAGGGACGTTGTAAAGGGGGAGTCGTATTTGCCCGTTGTTAGGAGGAGGGTCGCATGCCCCTCTCAAAGCTCTGAGAGAGGTTACTCGATGAGGAGGGAATCAGAGACGGGGAGGGGGGAGGTGGTCGTACGGACTGGACGGCCACCCATAACTGATGATGTGCCCTTCTTATACAGTGCGTAACAAAAGTATGTGGACACCTCATATATTTGTCCTGCGAAATTGCCGTTGAGTTTTGCGATATGAGACCTTTATTGTTGAATTCCTCATGAGCGAAAACGTAGGAATACACTACTTCTGAGCACTTTGTGAACTACTGTACAATTATTTATTGTTTTGAAAAAGTTTCTTAATAACAAAAGTATAAGGACACCTGAGAAAGTCCAAAGCTTGGCTCCAGATCAGCAATCCATTTTATGGTCTTTAGTCCCCATTAACCTATACTCATACCTCGTCGTGGCAGTCCTCGTAGCTCGGATTCGAGCTTTCAGTGCTGCGGGACACTCGAATAGAGAAATTGCAAGATAGCTCGGACCTTCGGCGACGTGCGTTGGTATATACCTCCAGGATCCTGATGGCTACCACTCAGTACCGTTTCGAGGCACCCACGATCTTTGTCCGCAAAAGACATCAGAAGAATCGCCTCAAACTCCCCGCTTTCTATGGCACAGATCCATGCCGCGATGAATCTACCGGTCTCAAAAATGACAATATGGCGCTCTATTCGATCAAGTGAGCACATCATTCGAGAGACCATGAAGAAAGCTCCCTGTATGACTGCTGCACCAGCTGGCAAGACTGAATTTTGCACAAAAATGGCGACATCGTGAGACAAGGTGCAGTTTCTTGATATGTTGTAAAATCCGAAAGGCGACATCTTATGCGCATTCCTTTCTTAGCTTATCTTCACTGATAAGGAAGAAGTCATTCTCGAGGGTCCAGATGGATATCAGCATCACTGGGAGGGTCTTTGTAGCGATCCGTTGGTGCTCTCAAGACGAAGTTTCAGAGGCGCCTCTCTGATGGCGGGGTGATTTTGAAAACAGAGGAAAATTGGAGCTCGCCTTCCCATCGTGCTGTATGAACAGTGAGGAATAGCAAGGAGTGCTTAAGTCTAACCTCTTGCATTTTCCGAGCGGGTATGACGCAGGACACATGTGATGCAGCAGGACAACGCCGCCGTGCATGTTTCAAATTCTACTAGAAAATGGCTCCAACGCAATGGTATCAAAGTGATTAATTGGCCGGCGTGCTCTCCTAACTGCAACCCAACCGAAATCCTGTGGGGAATCATGGTTCGACGAATCTACATGAACAGTGGGCAGTACAACAGCGATTGAACGAGGCAATAGTTGCTGCATGGGAGGAAACCGAAGAAGACACCATGACAAATCTTGTTCACAGCATGTTCGAAGCAATAGTGAACACTGGAGGAAGAACTAGCGTCTATTTTCCACGACACATTTGTTTTTTGTTAAGTGTCCACATACTTTTGATATTAAGAAACTTTTTCAAAACAATAAAAAATTGATCAGTAGTCCACAAAGTGCTTAGAAGTAATGTATTCCTATGTTTTCGCTTATAAGGAATTCAAAAATAAAGGTCTCATATCGCAAAATTCAAAGGCAATTTTGCAGGACAAAAATTTGTGGCGTCCACATACTTTTGTTACGCACTGTAGGTCATCGTGGTTCTCGCATCGCAATTCGAGCTCTTCGAACGGTTCAAAGAATCCTCTTTGAATTGTTTGGAGAATCAGTGTTATCACATATGCCCAAATGCTTTTCCCTCAATTCATCTTGCTGTCGTCCTTGTCGGAACAATCGGTTGGACGACTTATTAGCTGCTACTTGCACCGCTGAATGGCACCCACTGCAATTGACACATGTGAGGTGGGTCAATTGAAGCAAGAAGTGCACTTCACATCGTTCCTTTCCGCAACGTTGCACAGTGATGGATTCTCCAATGACGAAGCAGATCAGCATAGCACTGACCCGTCATCTTGATGTTGCCTTTCACTTAGCTGGGCAGCAGGATCCCCTGCGCCCCAAAATGCGGGGTGGGTGGGCAATAAAAAGACACTTTGGCCGAGTCATACATCATATTCCATTCCATTCTGGGCATAATGCAGACTGGGTTCTGCAGCTGCACTAGCGGTCTCTTTTGGGTTGCTTTCTGGAGGACGAGCACATACAGGGAGGGGGGGTAAAAAAAGACAGTTCGACCGAGTTACACCTCAGTAAAGTTTTCGCAGCCCAGATAGAAGATGTGGATACGAGCACCAAGACGGGAAAATACCCAAGAGGTTCCTCGATAAGCAGGAGCAGGCTCTCGTCCATCACCTCCATGTACACTGAAATAAGAAGCCATCTCCAATCGCAGCCGGACAGGGGAAGGCATATGGATTTCACGTCATCTCCAAACAGCTGCGAAACTTCTTATATGGAGCATCCATGGACAGCTCCCTGGAGTCCAGCACTCTGTCTGAAAGACTTCCAATATCAAGCAGCTCCGACAACGTCCAGGACATCATCTTCACCGCAGCCGCCAAGGTGCGGATTGATGGCATGGACCGGAAATTTCTGGAATGAGAAGACCGATATCTTCTTCGTAGACCCCGCATTGAACGCTGACTGTTACATTGAACAGCTCTAGGAGATATTCTGTCTTCATGTCTTCGCCTGTACCGTTCTAGAAACTTACTGCTGAAAGATTGGGCGCCAGCACATGGAATCCAGCACATGGCGTTGGAAAAACTCTCGCTCACTTAGAATCGAAGGGCGTTGAGAACCTGAAGAAGATGAAACATCCAACTGTGTCACTTGACCTAACCGCCCCGCCCCCTCGATTACCGTGCTCGAGCGGAGCACAACACTGGTCTACAGTGGCGGAGAAATCAACGACCTTTCTGAATTCAGGCACCAAATCACGGTCGCGTAGCAGAACCTCTCGATGGCGTTCGTCCAGAAGGGTGTGGTGGAGTTCCGTGATCGTGTGCAAGGCGTTGTTGAATTTGATGGTAGAAATATCTAATCAGAACTCAAAAAAGTGTAACTTATATTACCTTTAAAGTCGACGAAGAGAAGTGTCTCTTTTTGCCTTCCCCCAGTATAGTCGCCATAATCGACATTGGGTTTAGTACGGGCCTTGACCAGTTTTTTAGACTTATCTGTAAGGCTATTAACAAATATAGATAGCAAAACTACAACGTGCATTCCACAAGCAACTTATGAGCAGGTAATGTTTGTAATGCTGCAGTAGGGGAGAGGCTTGGTGGTGAGCTGTGAAGGATAATCAAAGATGGCTTTCATTTGATCGAGTCGTGCTGATCAGTGGTAAGTTTCGCGCTTCGCAGGAACAGCATGCTGGTTCGATACCCGCAAGTGCGGAAGTTTTTGCATAATTGGTTTACCTGATTTTTTGACTCGCGTACAGATAAACGCCTGGCCATCAGGATTCACCTTCTTGGCGTCTATTTACTGCGAAACTTTTTGTGCGTGATTCACTTCATTCACAACATTGGAAATATCTACAAACTATTCGAACCGTTACTCATGCTTCAACAATGATGAAACATTTTGTTAGATAACTGCTGTTTTACGCCGCAGTACGCGTTACGAAAGTGTATCACAAGAATGCTGAGTTAAGGGCAAAAGTCGTGCCCCAGGCGGGAGTCGAACCCGCACCTCACGCTTTTCCGGGCGAGTGCGCTATCCGTTACGCCACCAGGGCCTATTTCACCCTCTCAGCTTAAACGGCTTATGCGTAGCCTTACAGCACTCACACGTTTAACTTGGTGAGCCGGTCAGCCGTAATCGTTAGATATCGGCCATGGAACCGCGAGGCCGAAGGCTTTACAAGTTTTTGAAGTCGTTTTGTTAGATAACTGTTGTTTACATAAGCATAAGCCATTAAGCTGAGAGGGTGAAATAGGCCCCGTGGCCGTAACGGATAGCGCACTCGCCTGAAAGAGTGAGGTGCAGGTTCGACTCCCGCCTGGGCACGACTTTTGCCCTTAACTCAGCATTCTTGTGATAACTTTCGTTAACGCGTATGCCGGCGCCGTAAACGACAGTTATCTAACAAAACGACTTCAAAAACTTGTAAAGCCTTCGCCTCGCCGTTCCATGCGATATCTAACGATTACGGCCTGACCGCTCACCAAGTTAAACGTGTGAGTGCTGTAAGGCTACGGCATAAGCCGTTAAGCTGAGAGGGTGAAATAGGCCCTGGTGGCGTAACGGATAGCGCACTCGCCCGGAAAGCGTGAGGTACGGGTTCGACTCCCGCCTGGGCACGACTTTTGCCCTTAACTCAGCATTCTTGTGATAATGATGAAACAATTCAAAAAAAATGAGTGAAGCAGATATGCTGCTCGCAAGCTGCGCAACTAATGGATGCTGCTTTCTACAATCGCTGGTGAAACAGATATTTCAAGGTTGAACAAGTAGTCACCAGGAGTGACAAAAGCTCCTGGGTGATGATCAATATGACCTGCTTTGTACCACGAGTATTTCAGAAAATTAGAGAATCTCGGGGCACAAAACATCCGGTACACTTGCGATAACACCTTCAGTATGTTGTCCCTGGTCATATTGAACGCCAGATTATTCACCATCGCCGAGGTCCGAATCCTTTTCATAACATTTTTCA